TTTCTGCTTTCGACGACAATGAATTTCACTAAATTCCCACGCTGTCTGATCACCGAGCTGGGAATGTGGTAGTGACATGAAACTCAAAACGTTGTTCTATCAATCTATATACTTTTAAGAAAAGAAGGAAAGCGACTAAATAGACAAGTACACGAACCTCTGATATTTCGATGGCGAATGCACCATTAATTGAACATGACGTGACTACAGGAAAATGTGTCACCATAACCATAATTTTAAACAAATATGAAGCATCTTACATTTCTATTTTACATACCTAAGAGCAAATGTGGCAAAAAGTTGCGTTTCTACGTATAAAAGTGACGAAGTTAGGAAAGTAAAAGATGCGGCGGAACGAGAATACAAAAGAAAGACCTCCATTATGCATTTTTCTTTTTGCGTAAAAAACGGATACTCAGACATTAAGTCTCTCTTTAACAAGATATGAAAAAACGTTATTGAGTTATTCTTCGTTGATGGGCGATATCTTCTGCATGCGTTGTCAAAAAATTATGTAGTGCATATATCAATTGCTCAGTTTTACAAAGTGTAAGAAAGTCGTCTATGTATGTGGAATATAAAGATCGCTTGAAATCAGTATCGTAACTACTCCCACGCGGATTCAAAATGAATCTTGAACGATTCCGCGATGGTTAAACAGATTCCAAAGCTACCCATTATGCTACTGCTGTCTTGGTAGCGTAATCTGAAACTAACGGAGCATAAACAGAAGTGTGACAAGATTGATAATATCTGAATCAGGTTAATAAGTAAATGCGGTTGAACCACCTTGTAGATGCAAACTGCTGTTCATCACTCAAAATAGCTTGACATATACCCAGTTCAAAAAGCCATTGTTTCATCAAAAACATTTTGTAAAGTACTGCCAGAAAAACCTTCATTATTTCTTACATTATTACATATTACACGACCCTTAAGTCCTTAATCAGTGAACAGGTACACATAGGATTTATTCAGAAACGGCTGTTGAAATGAATGCTCTTGTTTGACTTGCAAGATTGAAAGTCACACGTCACAAAGCACATTTCGTCCACGCAACCCCAAGAAGTTTCCTTTCAAAACTAAACTTGTATATTACCGTGCTTGTAAAACCCGATTAGCAGCGACTTGTCTGCTTCATTGTCCCACCAGGCGACTGGTCCTTCTGGGTGCCATGGAATGTTCAAACTGATTTCACTAAAATTACGAGCTGAGACCGTAGTCAAAACGCTGAAATCGAACATTGCCAAATATGCAGCAAAACAAACGGTTATCGATAACCATAATTAAGTACTAACGAAATAGAGAATTTACTTAAAAATGGTAATAAATGTCGAACTTATACACCGACATCCAACATCACAGAACAGTCAAATATAAACACAAATTCTAAAAACTGAATTTTCATCCGCGTTAAGAAACGAACTCATGTATTTATTTTCAGCCAAAGGATAGTCAGTCAGACAAACAGACACCTATTTGGACAGTCAAATTTACTTTAGGCAAACGATAAGTTGCAAAAAATATGAATTCCCTATGAGGACTGTTTAATTCGATCGATTTGCATGGAATAATAAATAGCAAATAGATAACAGAACTAACAGGATAATAAAATCGCTCCGCTGTTACCACAGAAACCGGAAAACCATACCGACAGTCAGCAGTATATCGAAGAACAAGATGCATACGCAACGTCGAACAGATTTTATCAATAAATCTACTGTACCATGTTACACTTAACAAACCGCATGTTTTAAAGTATTTTCTGAACTATCAGTTCTACGTAAATCATTGCTAGTGCGTGACAGAAGACATGCCGATATTTACTTACCATGCCGCTTTACCCGCCTTGATTTCCGGTGCAAGATCTTTTATAATTTCGTTAGAAAGGTAATATAGTAAGCGAATCCGTAGAAGCAGTCTAAAAATTAATTTATTTTATATTTTACACCTTGAAAAACATCCATGAGTTTGAAAGAAAGTAAAAATAAAAGATGTCGAATAAATGTGAAATTAATTTATTGCAATTAATTTAAATGTACAAATTGAATACTTGTAAACGAAAATAAAAACAGGTACTTGTTAGCATGTCGTTGTAGATGTCTTTGGTAAGTAGCGTCGACAACTAACGAAGGGGGATTGTACAGTGGAAGGGCGGCCCAGCCTTGATGATATGTGTCAGTCACCTGCTCAACGCTGGTCACTTGACGAGTTTTGCGACTGCGCGGAGAAGCACCAAGAGGACCTGAAAAACATAAGTAATTTAACATCGGCAAAAAGCAGCGGAGAAGGTCTAATATACCGTACTGACAACTGGCAGCGTCGGACGGCATGTCGTCTTGCTGTCGCGGAGTAATAAGCTCCCAGGTAAACTCGCGAAGCTTCTCGTCACCGTTGTACTGTCTCAGACAGTGCAGCAACAATGTTCGACATAAGATCTCCATCTCAGCTTCCGTCAGCTTCTGCTTCAAATTACTGTTGTCAAGTATTTCAGACCACCTTCCCCACCTATAATTTAAAAAATTGCAAAAGTTAACGCAGTGCAAAATAGATTCCTCGACAAACAAACTTGTTATCTATAAAAATTATATTTTTCTTCAATTTGAACTTCAGTGCAAACCAGTCGAATGAAATATAAAATAGCCCCCGATATACCAGGGGTCATAATTTAAAAAATGCACTAGGGCATAGTCTTCGAAAACCAGCTGCTGAACGTTCTTCTTGACGAACAAGAAACTGTATTATTACAATGTCAAACAGCATGACGTTGCCGCTGTGTCAAACGAGCACTTAAAGATCTAGTAACAAGAGGTGGACTAATAATGTCACGAAAGCGGTTTACCAGCTTTGAATAAGCCAAACTGTTAACACACTACTGCGCAAGAACCATAAAACCTTGCTTCTTTGCAACACTAAATTAGAACAAAGATGGAACACTTTGTTCGCGCGTTGGCTCAGAAATACTTTTATATGCATTGCAACAAATTGGTCTATCGACTTCAGGATCCATATTTCATGGGTCTTCTATGTGATAGAGATGATAATTTTCAGGTGCTGTGGAAGTCTTCCGAAGCACTGGGCTCGTTTGAGGTCGAAAAACCTTGAAAAACCCGCGAAATATAGGCATAAACGACGCAGAGATCCATCACCCAATGGGCTATGATATGCCGTGGTATTAAATAAATATTTCTGTGCCGCTTCTTTGTGCTCGCAAGTGAATGTCTGAATGACTATCGAGTTATGGTACAAAGCATAAACGGTTACCCAAAGGTGCTTAGAGCCTTTTCGACGCGGAAATAATCCGTCTTTGTAAAGCTCAGTTCATCGGTGACCGCAGCCGCTTCTACGCTAAGGGCTTTGTTTCGTTTGCGCCTGCTTTTAAAACGCTTTCTTCGCGACGGCTCAACGGCGTCGTCTGACTCTGAGCCGGATTCCACTTCGCTTTGGTTGCTGCTGTCGAACACCTTGTCTTCGAACCGTCGTTTACGCTGGCGGGGTTCATACAAGATCAGTTCGCTCTGAAACATAATCAGCAGCTATTAGCAAGGAACATACTCAAAAATACACAAAACGAAATGGCATAGAAAATATGCTACATTGAAGCTTTGAATTTTAAAAAATCTCCCTTACACCATATAGGATTGGCATATTTAAGGGCATCGGAGTATCACTGAACACCAAGTGTCGTTCGGTTTGTTTCCGTTGCGTTAAGCTTGATCGCACTAGTAGTAACAGGGAAAGAGTCAGTCACTGAAGACCGGGTGAGGAGCCCTGGGAATCATGAGCATTTTCTAAGTGAAGTCCTGATGGCGTTTGAAAACAGAATAGCCTTTTCACCGCGTTTTACGGAAATTATTGAACCTATAGCAGCAACACATAAAACTGCAAAGTCACTAGGTCATAGGACATCGCAAAAGTAAAGGGTTCAGTAATTTCAAAGTTCCAAAGTAAAATTTCAGTGTTTCTTCAGTGAAGCTGGAAATGTGAACAAGGTTCCTTCGCACGTCCGAAGTGAATAACAATCCTG